AGGAAGTGAGTACAGGAAATCTGTTGCTCGTCGACATCGGCCAAATAAACAAAGCCATCGTTTCCGTTTATGCAGAGAGCGTGCACTCATCTAATTTTCCGTTGACACTGCTGTTTTAGTTTTCCATCTTCAGCAGTAGTTTCAATCCATTCACACAGCTTTACGTTTTTTCTCGCTTAATATTCTTAATAAAACGATATTGATTGCCTAGAAACAGTTTGACTCGCTACACGCTTTATTTGGGAATTCAAAGTGATGAATATAGTCATAACAAATTATACTTGCTAATGACAAAAAAAAAGAAAGTAACATCGTGTGCCCCGGATCGTGTGAAACGTACTTCGCGCTCTACTCGCTTTGAAGCTGCCGCCTATGCTAATGAGCATAGTTGCGGACGAAGCCTTACAACTTCAAGATGGTGTTAATGTTACCAGCTCCCTCATGTTACACCGTAATAAGGCACCCAACACCAATGTGCATGTGTTTTGTAACCCCTCTCATCCCCTCCGGGGGATGTTATACATGTTAATAAATCAATGTTAAATACTTGCTGATTTCCGAACCGTGCGGCATGTCGTCGGTAAATACTTGTTTATCGTAGTTCGCGAGCAGTCGGCGAAATAACCGAACATTTCTATAAGGCATGCTGTGTACCCTACATCGATCGACCATTGGGATTCACGCTTTTCGACCAACCAACCAATGGGAATCGTGCTCTTCGCAGAGTGACACTGCGATCCTGTCGCAGAGTGCAATAATCGACATTCGGCGAGTCTTACAATTGCGTCGCAGAGTTAGTTTTTAGACCCCCATTCATACCTCGAAAATGGTGGTTGTATTGTAGTGGATAGTGGCCATTTTGTCAGTATTGTAGTGCTTTTACCATAGATTTCTATGGCAGAAATATTATGTCATATCTCAAATTATAGGCTGGTGACTAATATATTGTTAATAATGGGGTCCTTTTTGTTTTCTGATTTATTACAAAAATCTGGGATTTAAAAAGTGTTGAAAAATGCAGTTTTTGCTCAACATTATGCTCTATAGAATTGTTCTAAAAATAACAATATATTTCTCAAAATATGTCGCAGTGATGAAATCTATCTATTTTGAGGGGTGAATATTTTAGCTGAGAACTGTGTCATCTGGGGAATGCTACACAGTTGTGGACATATATTATAAAATCTGTGAGAAGTTGATAGTTTTTAAATAGTGATGAAAGTTATTTTTCTCCTCCCTATTGTCATGCGTATAAAGTGTGTTTTTTAGGCATGACCCCTGAGAGTTTCCATACTTTCCGCATAATCAAACACATGCTGTTTATCCCAATCAGACTTAAAGCAATTCCAGGCACTGATTTGTAACCTATTGTAGTAAGTTATGAACATCTAGCACTACTTCAGCGTCAAATCAGTGCCTGGAATTGCTGTAACTGATAACCAGTGTTGTTCATCGCGTAAATAAACATTGACAAAGCAAATAAACCAATGCATGTACAGTGATGTTATATACTGCCTGCTGCCCCCCCCCCCCCCTGTGCCCCTACATGGATTGCAGTTGTGGTGATAAACTTGCGATTATATATAGAATCTATGGGTAGTCTATAGGATCAATGGGTAGTGTATAAATCTTACCTTGTGGAAAGATGATTGGATAGTTGGAATATTGAGTTGATGGTATGTTCATAACGGCTTGTATCTGGTGTAAATTATGCTCCAATATGGCGAGTCTGTCCGATAGTTCATTATCTGATCTATTCAAAGATGAATCAATCGTTGTGTCTTTCCTTGGTACAATAAATGTATAGGAACATTGATCAGTAGAATCCCTTTGTGAAGTTTCAATATCTGTGTTCTGTGATGAGACAAGTACTGCCCAAAATAATATAACCATGAGAGAAAACATCTTTGTATGCAGTAGATGTGATGTCTTGTGGTGAACTATGGGAAGGGTATGGTCTTATCTCAGTAACCACTTCACATCCTGATAATCAACATATTTGTGTGCATATTTAGAAATTATTAAAAAACAAAATTAAGTTTTCATTTTGTGCCAAATATTCAGAAGATGACATATTTATAAATTTTGAATGTGTAGAATTTTAGTACTCACCTTTCATGAAAACAAGCAGAATTTGAATGGGACTATTTTTGGACTATTTTGCGGAAGGATACAAAAGTTGACTTGGTGTATACCGGTACTTAGACCCAGGAGAAGAGGCTACAATTTCTATTGTAGGATGTTCTTTTCCAGAAGAATTAAGTAAATACTGTGAAATGCTTTATTTTCGCTTGGAATTAATTTTCTCTATTTTTGCTGAAGGAATGATTCAGTGAAAATAAAATCCAGCGAATATACCTTTTTTTCTATATTTACATTCAACTTGTCAAAAATCAGTGAAAATAAATTCCATACAAAACACCCAAAAAGTCTTTTCCCGCGGAAATTAATTCCAGCTAAAATAAAGTATTTTACAGTAAACAATCTCACATTTTTTATACAGAATAATCTTGTAGTCATGTAAATCGGGTCATCTTAACAAAATCGTCTATCGGAACACAGTTCATGGTGACTAATTGTTCTACCGGTATGTTATGAACTGTGAACATTGTCTGTAC